AGAGGGAGGGGGAGGGGGTGAGGGAGAGGTACAGAGAATAAGTAGCATAAATGGTTGTTGCACGTGGGTCACCGGCCAGCAGTGACCACGGAACGCTGTGGATGGCTCGACGAAAACATGCGAGAGAAAACACATGCACAGAGACAAGCTAGTTTCTGTGGGGAAGTAGGGATGAAATGGCCACCACCCCTAGTGGGGAGCGCGCCGATTTACAGTCCATACCTGCTTTTATTGGGCTCATTCTGCGTAATAATTCAGGTAAAGTACAGTACTCATTAGGGGGAAGTAAGGAACCATAGAAAACAAAGAACTCTGCCGGTCTATTGAGTTAGGGGGTCAAAGAGCTGTAAGACTGAGGAACAAACTAACTTCCTCCTAAGACCCTTCTCATTCAACTGAGAGCATTCTAAACAAAGAAGGTTTCACAGTAATTTACATGTTCTTTCTTAGGCCTGATCACCCCGGGGAATCCGCACTTCTCAGTACAGAGCTGCACCACCCTGTCATTGTTTCAGGCTTAGGTGGAGCAAGGGAACTGAGAGACAAGGAGGTTTTTCCCCAGACGCTGAGAGCTCAGGCTATGTCAAAGCCGAGGAGCGAGGGTCCATCACCCCCTTTTGCTGCAGCCCCCCAAGTCCTTCTTTTGGGGGGCCTCCCAAAGTGATCGTGCCTGGCTTAGGTTGTTCCCCCTGTGGGGAATCTTACCCGTCTTTGGCTAACCGACCAAGCTTTTTTGGGTTCAGTCATGAATAAAGCAGCAGAAGCAGCATTCCTGCCAGGGAGATAAGCTTTTGTCTCCTTGCTGGCTTACGGTTCCAAGGGCGTTCCCTTAGCCTTAGCCTAGGCGGGGGTTTCAGCTTCTGATATCAGTCAGGGCGGTTCCCAACAAATGGTGGGTTTATGAAACTAGACTGGGGGAGGCTAAGAATAGTATAGGAAATGTAGGAGCCAAAGAAATGTAGAAGCCAAAGAGCTTATATGTGTGACCCATGGACATGAACTAAAGGAGGCAGGGGAATGTGGGTGGGTGGGTGGGAGGGGGTGTACAGGGTGGAAGGGAATAAAGGGGGGGAAATGGGAAAACTGTAATAGCATAATCAATAAAATATATTTAAAAAACAGCAACAACAAAATAAAAAACTACTCAGAGCTGTGATAGGCAAGAGGACTGCCCTGGCAAGACTCATCTAAAGCCAGCCACCCACCAGAAATACCATGGTACTGCCATCCTAGAGCAAGGATGGCCACCACCATGGGTGCCATCCCCCACAGGGTGCATGTGTCTGTCACTGATGCTCCTGCACTGGCACCCAGGCCTCACCCAGGCCCCTGCCAAAGGCAGAGGGCATAGCAGCAGTCACAGGGTGAGGGCAAGAAGGGAGAGGCCAGGTGTGACAAGGGGGGAGCCTAAGTCCAGGGTCTAAGCCTCCAGGGCCCGCTCCATTGTTCCCTGAGAATTCACTCACAGAACACAGATCCGAAGATAAAATTATTAAGAATTTCAAAATTGCAACTATAGTGCATTAACTTCCAAGTTCAGGGTCCTTTGGGGTGCAAGGTCTTGTTCGCCTACACTGGTCACGCATCCATGAAGTCAGCCCTATTCCTCAGGCAAAAGAAAAAAGGGGCTCCGGCTGGTGTGGCTCAGTGGATTGAGCACCAGCCTGCAAACCAAAGGGTTGCCAGCTCAATTCCCAGTCAGGGCACATGCTTGGGTTGCAGGCCAGGTCCCTGGTGGGGGTCACACAAGAGGCAAGCACACATTGATGTTTCTCTCTCTCCTCCCTCCCTTCTCGGTCTAAAAATAAATAAGATCTTTTTAAAAAAAAATGTAAAAAGAGGGTATTTGGTGGGAGTATTCTTTGCAAGATCTCATCCCCAAGGGAAATCTAGACAGAAAGTGCTTACAGCAGAGGGGGCTGAGGTAGCCTTGCTCCACCTCCCCTGTGCTCCCTTTCCTTCCATGATGACAAGATTTCAGCTGTGCCCTTTGCCTTTTCACCATCCCACCCCCTCTCATTGTTGGGATCTGCTGATACTTGACTGGTCTATAATCATATCTGAGCCAGGAAGTACTGGACCCTAAATGCCTTGGGATGATACATGGAAATCTAGTCCACTTCAATGCCAAGTGCATGGTTTCCCAACTTACTTAGCTGGTCCCAGGGCTGTCCTACAGGAAGGCAGCATGGGAGGCTGTCCAGCTGGTTTGCCCCTGATGGCCTGGTGGCAGGGATGGGGGTTGGGCATGGAGTGGTGTGGCCCTCTGGGCAGTTGCCACTGTAGAGGTTTAAGGAACCCAAGTCCTTACTTATTCTTCTTTTTCAAACTCTATTTCCTAAATTCTCATGAGTGTAGACTGTAGGCAATGTACTTTTTGTAGTGGCCTGGAGCTGTGTCTGGGACAGAGTGGGGGTATTTTCCTTGGACCCAAAGATTTGCCTAGGGGACTGTCTGGATCGTAATGCACAGGTGTGCTCGCTTGGGCTCCATTTGTTAAAGCATACTCTTGTTTCATCCAGTGCCTTTGGGGGACTTTTCAACTTTGGAGGGCTCCTTTCTGCGTCCTGCACTGTGAGAAAATCCACACCAGGCTCACTAAATATTAGATTGGTCAAAAAGTCCATTTAGTTTTTTCCATAAAGTAAGACACATATTTCATTTTCACCAATAACTTTATTTGGATATTTTGAGTATGTTGGCTACCTCCTGAGAAGTATAACATTGATTGTTCTCAATTAATGCCTCAATTTGATTGCTATCAACTTCAACTGGTCTACCTGACTGTGGAGCAGTGTCCAGCAAGAAATCTCTAGTATGAAACTTCCCAAACCACTTTTGACATGCTCAGTCATAGCACCTTCTCCATACACTGTACAAATCTTTGTTTCAGTTGCATTTTTACCTTTCTTGAAATAAGGCGTAATATGCCAAAAATGTTGCATTTTCTCTTCCATTTTCAATATTAAAATGGCTACACTTCACTATTTTTTTTTAAATGCACGCCAATATGACAGCTGTCACAATACAATCTAACAAAGTTGTTCTGAATGAAGTTCAAAACAACTAAGCACTACTAGAGCCAACTTACAGAAAAAAACCAAACGAACTTTTTTGCCAAACCAATAGAAACTGTTGGCACATCATTTGAAGACTTTCCTTAGGGAAAATAGGCACCCTCCCTGTGCTCCTGAGGTCCCATTCCCAAGGAGGCAGGTAGGGGACAAACCAGCAGTGCTGCTCTGCCCTCTTCTCTGGTGCCACTAGGAAGGCACTTTCTTTTGAGCTGTGGGATTGAGGGATAATAAGGTCTACCAGCAGTCTGGTTCAGTCCTGCCCAGTCCAGCTGGTAAAGGGGCTGTGGTGAGAATCACCTTGGAATCTAAACAATGGCAGAGGTAAGAGGCCCAGGAAAGCTTGGGTCTGGGTCCTGGGAAGCACAGCAGGCCTGGCTGGGCCCAGCTGCAGAGCCCCCTAACCACAGGACTGTGGCCCTGGAGGCTGGCCCTGTGACTTCCCAGATTCTGTTCTTCCTCTATGCCCCCACACCAGCCCCTTTCTGAGCCTCAGCAGGCCTCAGCTGGGAGTTCTGGGTGTGTTTACATGTCTCTGTCCAGCATTAAGCCTGGATCTGCGAATGACTAAAACCTTTTCTAACGTATATCTATGAAGAGCTCTGAAGGGCAAGCAATCAATTTCCCTGCCCAACCCTGAAAGCCTTCCCATTTCAAATTACTCTTTTTTGTAAGGCTTCAAAGAACTCGATCAAAGATAACCTTCATGTTAAATAAAAGAGCAGTTTTTCCTTTGTTTACTGTAAAGCTGGAAATGAAACACAGCCACACTTCAGCTCTCTGGTAAACAAAGCATGGTGAATGGCAGTGATGCAGCGATCGTTGCAGGACAACCCTCCACACTTTTGGGAACTTTAGTTTAATTTCTGACATTAGAGATGATTTTTCAAGTGCTCAGGTCATTAGGTAACCAGAAACCAAAGCCAATCTTGATAATCTCTGCCATAAATTATCACCTGAGAAGGCAGCTGTGGCATGGTGAAAAAACACCCTGGACTTGAGGGCCAAAAAATGACAGTTCTTGCTCTGGCCAGGTGGCAATTTGGTTAGAGTGTTGCCCTTTTATGCCAAGGTTGTGGGTTCAATCCCCAGCCAGGGAACATACAGGAAACAACCAATGAATGTATGAGTGTTTCTCTCTCACCCTTCCTCCCTAGAATCAGTAAATTAAAAACAAATTAAATTTTTTAAAGTCTGGGTTCTCAAGTCTTTACTCTGCCTCTTTGTAGCTGTACAGCCCGAGTAGGACACTTACCCTCTTTGGACTGCTTCCTCCTTACAAATACGGAGGTTGTAAATCCCGTGTATCTCACAAAGTACAGTACATAAAAACATGCAGTCCTTGTTCTGTGCTCGATACACACTATGCTCTCAGTAATGCGTATTGGGTTATATATTGTTACATTTGTGGTATTTTCTGTAACACTTCCCACCACCCCATACCAATTTAATAAAACAAATATAAAGGTAACATTTTAAAAATTGCTGTATTCAAAATAATAAACTTTAGGGTAAATAAGCTAAACAAAAGTACATAAGCAAAAAAAATAAATAATTTACACCAACCCACTAACCTAATTTTCAGAGTAAAGCCATTTCCAATTATAGCTGTTACTGGGGCTCTTGCCTGTGGTCAACTTTGACAGTTCATTATTTTTTTAAAAATGGTAACACAAGCAAAAACACTTATTAAGTCTTTAACAAAACCAGAGCACTGGATTTAACTTTTTAATTTTAAGTAAAGAAACTTTGTAATTTTAGACATAATCCAATGTAGTGCTGATAGATTAGTATTTCTGCTTGAAGAGTTGGTATTTAACAGGGATGGAAAACTATAATGAATATAGTCTTCAAACCATGAAATACAAATGAAAGGGGACAAGTATACAGTAGAACAAAAACTGCAGACACTCTAACTGCAGGAAATATTTGAAGGCTTTATATCCTTTATTTTCATTACCCATGATGGCTTTTGGAATTGTGATCGTGTGACATATAGAACCTTTGACATTTTAGGCATAGCTTTTATTTGACTTTTTTTCACAGTAAGTTAAAAATCCATCATAAGACTCTGTAAGACTTCACTGGTCTTGCATAAAGACTCTAGGAGTTTGCAGTGTGATAAAAGAATAACGTGAAAATTTACGGTATTGCCCTAATTTCATACTTCCTTGTACACAATGAATCAATTTGGGAATCTATTTCAAGGATTATATACACAAAAGTGTCAAGCATAAAATGTTCTCCACTCTTGCATAAAAATGTGTACAGTGTTTCAGGAATGGAAAATGTCTCATGTTTCCGGGGCCCCGGCCTTCATGGATCTCTGCTGCCTGAAGATGAAAGGCTCCTCGTGCTTTACTGCTCTCAGGACTAATCATCCAACCCCGGCGTTTCTCCTTGTTGGATCCTGGATGCTATTCTGATGGCTTCTTCCAGAGATGGCTGCTCTCCAAGCTGAAACAGAAACATACACAAACTCACAGTCAAGATGATACCAAAGGAATATTATATGCCAGAAGTGGAATTTCTCTCTGTGATTCTGACACGTGGGCTTGCTAAGCTACTATCATAGCTTTACCAATCAGTAAAAGCAAAAAAACTAAATTCCTACAAGGGACAATAATGCAGTTTCTTTATTTAGGATTTTGATAGACCTTCACACATGCCAGGGACAAAAGATGCTCATATTTCCAATGGAGATAATTTAGAGAGCTTTCTGAGCCTTTAGTTTTTATGCCCATAAACTAAATAAAAACCAATGGCTGGCATTTTCCTGATTATGTTCTAACCTTTTGCCAAGTAAATACATGAAGAACTCCCCCAAGGAAAGGTAATCTGTACCTAGGATTCTGGATTCTCTGCTCGAATCCACTGACTCCCCAGAGGATGGTTTCTTCTTAGTCTTCTGACATTGCCCACTGTAAAATAGGGCTGTGCAGTGAATTCTCAGATGTAGGGTCTGTGTTGACACTAGTTTCACTTCCAAAGGAGTAGCTCTTAAGTGATTTATAGAATCCTATCTATTTAGACTTTTTAAAAAAATATTTTATTTACTTTACTTTTTAGAGAGGGGAAGGGAGAGAGAAAGAGAGGGAGAGAAACATCAATGTGTGGTTGCCTCTCACATGCCCCCTACTGGGGACCTGGCCGGCAACCCAGGCATGTGCCCTAGACTGGGAATCGAACTGGCAACCCTTTGGTGCCCTAGCCTGGGAATCAAACTGGTGACCCTCTGATTCTCAGGCTGGTACTTAACTGATGAGCCACACCAGCCAGGGCTTAGACTTTTATTTTTAGAGTTAAGATAGCTGGCTGGATGCAAATGGGGAGACATACCAGAAGCTTTATTTTTCTTGGTATAAATTCCCATAGAATATGCAAAGATAGTAAAGAACAAAGTGTTGGCCTCTTTGAATCCACCACAAACACACAATTTCCTTAGGGTGGCTAAGCAACACAGATTGTCCTGTGCCCTGTCTCCTGTAAGGGTTATGCATAAAGCACAGTGTACAAGGTTGAGAGGTCCGAGCAGCGCTGCTGTTGATGGAGGACAGCTGCCTCTGGACTCACCTGAACTGCAATCTGGGTGCCATTGGATGTCGCCACTAAGGTCAGAGGTCTGGTTTCTGTGGTTACTAGATGATGGCTGTGCTGTTGGTGCCCCATTTCTGATGACGCAGTATGGAATGCTGCTAAGTCCTGAGCCACAATTGCAACCTTAAACAAAAAACACACAGAAGAATTCAAACAATGGTTTAGTTATTTAAATCCCACCAGAGGATATGTTTGTTGATTTTAGAGAGAGAGGAAGGGGTGGGGGTGAGAGAGAGATAAACATCAATGTGAGAGAAAAACACTGACTGGTGGCCTCCTGTATGCACTCCAACTGGGGATCAAACTTGCAACCTAGGTATGTGCCCTGACCAAGAATCAAACCTTTAGCGCAACGGGATGATGCTCCAACCAACTGAGCCACCTGGCCAGGGCAAAACTATGATTTAAATAGGTTAAAATCTACTTAATGAAAAGGTATGTTTGTAAATTCAAAAGGAAAAAATCCCCTCTGACCACAGACTTGTAGAAGCCTGAAGCTGGAAGAAGCCTTATATATCATCTATCCTGGACTCCTCCTTTTTATTTGAGGAAGCTGAGGCTCAGAAGGGATTTATCTAGGGTTATGAAGTAAGGCAATGGCAAATGAGGGTAGAGGGCACTGGAGAAATGGATCCCTAAATTAGGCTCCATTAATGATGAGAGATGTAACTGTGCTTAAGTTCTATTTCCCCTAAGTGGCTGCTCAGGAAGTTAGTTACACATGTGGACTAATTCACATCAAATGTCTATCTATTCCCAAGTTTGGGGCAGTGGTAGATAATATACTGTTTTCTCCTGTTTACCTATTGCATTTTAACCAGACTCCATTTACCCAGGAAAACTGAAAGAACCAGTAGCATTACTGACCAATAGTAATGTATCTTGCTATACTCATTTCCTATTTTAGACTCCATGGAATCTTTGCACACTGCTCCTGAAGCATCTATCCAGAGTGGTTGAAAGTGCTTTTGTGGCTCTTAACCACAAATGTAGCCTTTTCTATGTAGATAAAATAGAAAATGGCATCAAATACTTGCTATATAATATTCTAAAATTTTGCTCAGCCAAACTCAGAAGAAAGGCTAAAAACTAAAATCTGTATTACTTGGCCATTAACCCACTAAAATGCTATGTTGGATCAATCCCAGCAATGTTTCATAATCCAGTAAGATTTCGGCCCAGCAAGGACTGAGTGGTTTATACTGGATTAACCCCTCCTGCAGATAACAATTATAAACTGTGGATAAAAATATGAAAAAGCTACTGTTTGAATGGATTGGAGAATGAGGAAAAGCAATCAGAAACTGTAGGAGATTCTCAAAGAAAGGGGAACCATAATGGTTCACATCCACGTTTAACTGGCTATGTAAGGAGACTTGATTTGGGTGGTAACACAATACAATATACAGATGATGTATTATCTATATAGTTTTATTAACCAATGGTATCCCAATAACTTCAATAATAAATAAATAAATAGCCCTGACTGGTGTGGCTCAGTGGACTGAGCACCAGCCTGCGAACCCAAAGGTCGCCGGTTCCATTGCAGGTCAGGGCACATGTCTGGGTTGCAGGCCAGGTTCCTGGCTGGGGGTGGGTGAGAGGCAATCAATCGATGTTTCTTTTCCTCTATTTCTCCCTCCCTTTCCTGCTCTCTAAAAATTTAAAAATAAATAAATTAATTAATTAATGAAAAAAATAGCTTTTTCATTGAGGCCACTCCCCACTCTGAGTAGCACAGGGTAACTTAAAGTATCAGCTAATGGAGCCTAGGGCTGCCAGAATGGTTACACATTGAGAGGAATATTCTAGAAAGGAGAAAACCAGGGTGGGGGCTGAACCCCTCCACATATCTGTATACAAACTTTCAATTCCTTAAGACCCCAGAACTGTAAATATCTGGGGAAGGTTCCAATAATTCTAGTAGAAAGCAGCAGCTGGAAGGCTGAAAAAGCTGAGACACTTGCTATAAGAAAGACAAAATTTAGAGTTTCTGTCTCACCAAGTTAGAGGGGCTGTACTACAAATAATGCTAAAGCACACCCTTCAGATAACGCATAGGTGGAGTGTGAACACCCGTGTGGATGGTCAACATTTGCCAAACAGCCTACAGTTGCAGCAGAAGGAGCAGTGGTGACAGCTGGTCCTCAAAGCTGCCCCTCACTGCCTGCCACACACACACCCCCTCCCCATATCCCTAGTGGCTGGAAGCTGCTCTATTTCATTCTAACCCCCAAAGCCTTTTCTTCCTGAGAATTTTTCTAGTCCACAGGCTATAGATAAGCTGCCTAAGAATGTTTGCTTTAGGGTCATTATCTTTCCAGCCTTGCAACTGAAACTAGTACAAGGTATATTTGCCCAGGCTGGGCTATAAACCCACCCAAGTATTCTAGAGCCATGGAGATGACTGCAAACTGATTAGGTGGGACCATCCCATAAGACAGCCTGAAAGCTCGTGTTTGGGTTCTTTCTTTTTTGTTTTGGCATACATTATAACCAGCAAACAATAAGTATGTTCCCATCTTAGGTTTCCTGTTGCGTTTTGACAGATACATCTATGAAAACAGCACCTAAAATAAGATATAGTACAGTTCCTTCATATTCCATGCCATCACTGTCCTTCCCCAGCCAAGCAGCACTTTCTGTCGGAGGATTTGTTTTTTCTGCTCTTGGATTTCACGTAAGGGGACTCATACAGAATCTATTCTACTAGAATTTACGGGTCAAAGGACAGAGGTATGTTTGACTTTATCAGAAACTGCCAAACTGTTCTTCTAAGTGGTTATATCATTTTACATTCCCACTATTGAGTAAGAATGTTCTAGTTACTTCCCATCTTTGCCAGCATTTGGTTGTCAGTCTTCTAAGTCATTTTCTTGTGTCTGAAAAGGTACCTAACTGTGATTTTAATGTGCATTTCTCTGATGACTAAAGAGGTTAAGCACTTTTTGTGTTATTGCCATTCATGAATCTTTTGTAAGGGGTCTATTCAAATAAGCAATCAAATGATTTGATCATTTTTAAAAATTGTATTTATTTTGCTCATTTTAATGGGCTGTTCATCTTTCTATTATTGATTTGAAGACGTTTGTTATGTATTCTCAATATAAGTTCACTAGCAGATATATACATTTTGAGTGACTTTTTCCCAATTTGGCACTTTTTCTTAATAATGTCTTTTGGTAAGCAGAATTAATTTGATGAAGTCCAATTTATCAGTTTTTTCTTCTATGGTTAGTGCATTTTGTATCCTAAGAAATCTTTAAAGCTGCAAAAATATTCACTTTTCCAGAAGGTTTATGATTCTGAGTTTTATATTTCAAGGTGTAGAAGACTTTCAACTTTGTTTTTTGTTATAGATTGCTGTGGCTGTTACGGGTCCTTTGCATTTTCAGGTAAATTTTAGGATCAGACTATATCATCAAAAAAGCCTGATGAAATTTTGGTTATAATGGTATGAAATCTATAAGCGAATTTATAGGAAGAATGAAAGCTACCAATTTTGATAGACTCTCACTGAACAGGGTGAAGTAACTGCAGTGAAACCTAACATTGCCATCAGCATAGTCCAAGAACAGTTTTTAAATGTATTATATTAATCAACAGAATTTAAATTAATGGAAATAAAAAAATTAAAACTACAAAGAGATATATCAGATTGGCAAGAATCCAAAGGGATATTTTTTCTACAAAATGGGAAGAGTATGTTGGCACTCTCAAATACTGCAGGTGGGAATGCAGACACTTATCTGAATTACAAATGCATAGGTCTTTTCACCAAGCAATTCCATTTGAAGGATTTATCTAGGACATATACTCACACACATGCAAAATCTCATGTGCACAAGGCTATGTGTTGTTTGAAACAGCAAAAGACTAAATATATCATGCATGTCCATACAGTAAATACAATATAACAAAAAAATGAGGAAGCTCTCTATATAATGAAATAGGAAAAATTTTCCTAGATATATTATTAAAGAAACAAAACGAAGTAAACAGTATAGTTTACTACCATAAAAAAGAAGTAGGGACAATGACTGCATATGCTTAATGAATTACTGGAAGAAACTAACACAAGAAACTAACTGAAGTGGATTATCTCTATGAGGTGAGCAGTAGGTTGATGGAGGCAGGGGTGGGGAGGATGACTTTTCAATGCATACCTGTATACAATTTTTTATTTTTGTAAACCTTTTAAAAAAAGATTTTATTTGTTTTTTTGAGAGAGGGGGATGGGGAGAGAGAGGGAGAGAAACATCAATGTGCAATAGGTACTTCGATTGGCTGCCTCTCACATGCCCCCAACTGGGGACCTGGCTTGCAACCCAGGCATGTGCTCTGACTGGGAATCGAACCAGTGACCCTTTGGTTCACAGGCTGGCACACAATCCTCTGAGCCATACAAGCCAGGGCATACTTTTTGATTTCTGAACTACGTGAATGTATTACATTTTCAAAAAATTAAGTAAATTTTGTAAACGAATTTTTCCCTAAGAACCTAGTAATGATAATTGTAGGAAGAGATATCATTAATGAACATTTAATAAATACATGGGCTGAGTAGTTTAAATGCATTACCTCATTCAGTCCTTATATCAACCTTATGGGGCAGATACAACAATCACTCCTATTTTATAGATGATGAAAAACAGAGACTCAGAGGGTTATGTACCTTAGAAGTTGTAAACTAGGATTCAGTCTGAAGTTTGTGCTTAACTGCTATATCACACTGTATATCTATTAATAATTTAGATATTGACATGTTTTGATTGATATAGAAGGGAAAAAAGAGCAATTACCTGCTGCCCTTCTGTGCCCTCAGCAGTTACCATAGCAACAGAGTGTGTTCCTGCTGAGGAGATGACTGCATCATGGGCAGGGACTGTGATAGGCGTGCCATCTTGCGTTACCATTGTGATGGTATTGCCTATGGCTTGCATATCGGTCTGAGATATGTTGACCTGCAATACAATGCATTCCACAAATCAGTCAATGTCTCTTGTTGTATTTGGCAAATTTTATTAAGGACTAGGCCTAATTCTTGATAAAGCTATTCTGGGAGCAAATAAGCACTTTATATTTTAGAAAGAGGTCATCAGAAAAATTTAAGCATTTCTTAAATGCATTTTTTCCTCTCCATCACTACTGCCAATTTAGACCTCTATTTTCCATCATCTGACTTTTTGCAATACCACGTCTTTCCGGGTATCCAGTCTACCCTTCCCTAATCATACTCTACCTTGCCACTGTTCTAAAAAAAAAACAAATTTCAGTATGTTCACTGCTTAATTCCCCAGTGACTCTCCACCACTACAGTTCGGATTCTCCCATGGCAGTCAGGACTTTTCAGGTTTGGCCTTTCACAGCGTCTTCAGACTCATCTGCCACCACTTCCAAACCAGCAACTGGCACTCCAGCCACAGCTAACCATTTGCAGTCCCAGACAGTGTCATATTCTGTTATCTCTTCATGACTTCACCTTCCTCCACTCTCTCTGCCTTGAGAACTCATGAAAAATTTTCAAGATCCAACTGAATGGCCACTGTCTACAAGGGCCTCCAAGAGTCCTTCACTCCTTTCTCCAGGCTGCCACAGCACGCAGCTACATACCCATCTCTATGAGCAATTACTGTTCATTTTAGGAATGTCTCCCCACACTAAGTCTACTACAATAGGCAGCACTGAGCAAATGTTCAGTAAGTATTTGTTGTCTATTTGTTGACTAAAGGAATGGAACAGAAACCTAATTCCTGAAGGAAATGGGAAGGTTACATCTACAGAAAATACATTATGGCAGGGAAAACAGCTGTTTGGGAGCACACAGAGAGGAGCCATGAGTAGATGACATGGCAGGAGGTTCCTATATGATAAATACTAGAATTATCAAAGATTGGAACAGTCTGCCTCTTTTTAAAAATTTTTATCTATTGGTTTTAGAGAGAGGAAAGAGGGGGGAAGACATCAGTTTGTTGTTCTACTTATTGATGCATTCATTGGTTGATTCTTCTATGTGCCCTCACCAGGGATCAAACCTACAACCCTGGGGTATTGGGATGATGCTCTAATCAACTAAGCTACCCGGCCAGGGCTAGGTTGCCTCTTAAGAGAGAAACCGCCCATGTATTTTAGAGCTGCTTAGGGGGGGATTTCTCCTGTATAGACAGGGAGGGAGATTACATCAAATGACCACCAAAGGGCCTCTGTCTGTGAGGAATCAGTGATGTCAAAAGTGAGAAGGAGGGAGATACATGGGATGGTACAAGAGCTTTGTATTTTCCAGTCCTGAGTATGTTCTGTCCCAGCTAACATCAGCACCTTAGCAGTTACCAACACGAATGGCACATTAATCATGGGAGGTAAAGCTCTGAGAGAGACTGGGGTAAACAGAGAGTTCTCCATGGAAAAATATACATATAAAAAGGCAAAGCAACCCCAGATGCCTATTTCTACCAGGTGCTAAGATGATCTTAGCTAGAGCTCAAAAATGAAATTATTTTAGCTAGTAGCATCTAAAAAACATAGTAAGTTTGACTATTGGAGAACAACCATTACATTGCTTTTCCTGGTGGAATCAAGAGACCTGTCCCATTAATTACGTGAAGCTCCCATGATTCCATGTAGGGAAAGAGCCACACTTTGGAAATTTTACAGGTTTGCCCATCACTGACTTCACATGTCTTTTAATGATGACATCATCACTCAGACAAGGCTCTGCTGATTTCTCAGTCTCATCTCCTGGACCTAATCAGCCATCAAATCCTATCCCTTTTCTGCATAGTGTTTCACATGGATTCACTACTTCTCAAGCCCTCAATTTCACTGTAGTTCTGACTTTCATCACCTAACCTTTGAACTCTACCAGTAACACCATTTGAGTTCTAGAGTCACAAACACTCTCCCTATTAATCTCTCTGCATATAGACTCTTCCAGCAGGCTACTGAAAAACCTTCAGGAAAGCTAGTCCTGTCTACAAGATGAAGTCCTAACTTTATGCTCTCATATTCAAGGACTTCGTTAACTGGGACCCAACCTGACTTTCAAATCCAGGTTCAGAGAAATATTATTTAACTTGTTTGGCTTCAGTGCATACTTACATGCTGAGTCCCGTCCTGGGATATGAGTGTAACCTGTTGACTCAACCCAGATTGTGTTACTGTGGCTACTTGTGTAGACACAACATCATCCCCTTCTACACCTGTAACATATGTGATCTGGGGCCCTTTAAGAACATCTTCACCTTGACCTGTTTAAAACAAATGAATCATTTATTTGACCGACCAACCAAGATGTTTAGAAAACAAAGGATATTTTAAATATTATAGAGAAACTTATATAAAGTATATGTATTATAGTCTACATAATGAAAATGGCCTCCAGCACCTCCTTCCAATTCTTCTACCTCCATTTTTGCAAAGTCAAACCAAATCAAAGAAGACCAAACCAAACCGTTCCACTTGAAGTTAAGTGTTCTAATTTTGAGAGACTTCTTTTATTGCCTTAGTTGGAGTAATTAGTGTTAACTGTGCATGTATGCTGGAGCAGCAAGTAAGGCAACTACACAGGAAGACTGATTGGCAAATAACCCCTCCAATATGGCAAGTTCTTATAGTCATTCAGAAGCTGTTAAAAATGATAAGACAGTCTTCAAAAGCTTTAACCACAAATCTGAATGGTGTGTAAATGTAACCTACTAAGTTACTTATTTTTTAACCCGAGTGATTGATTGCAAATCATCAGTACACAATGACATCACTGGGTAAAGAAAATTTAATGGCGTGTTATATGGTGTAAGGTTAATCATTTAATAAGTGACAGAACAGGAACCACCATCCACTTCTTTAGTTCATGAAGAACCAGCAGTAAACAGAAATTTCAGCAGTCTTTTACTGCTATACTTGGCAACCAGGAAGATTACTGATCCCTCTCTTCTTCTATCACCTTCCACCTCCCATAAAGGCGGAACTAGGGTAAATACACATTTTTTTTTTCCTTCAAAGGAGGACTTTATATGCTAATTTAAAAGTACTTCTGAAAGTTAGTGGTTGATGCGTGCATTCATATGGCTATAGGTCATCTTGGTGTAATCTCCATGGCAGTCATTACTGCATTCTTTTTGTTTTATTCCATAGCCATTAATATATCATTTTTCCAACAGATTATACAACTTACGTGATCATACAAGAGAAAAGGTACACAAATCCATCCCCAGTCTTTTTTTTTAAGATTTTATTTTATTTTTTTAAATTTTTACAGAGATGGGAAGGGAGGGAGAAAGAGAGGGAGAGAAACACCAATGTGAGAGAGAAACGTAAATCTATTGCTTTTCCTACTCGCCCTGACCAGGGACCTGGCCCGCAACCCAGGCATGTGTCCTGACTGGCAATCAAACAGGCAACCTTTCACTTTGCAGACAGTGCCCAACCAACCGTGCTGCACCAGTCAGGGCTATTCTTTCTTTCTTTTTTTAAAGCAAAGTAGGATTTTTAAAAATTATTTATTTATTCTAGAGAGAGCAAGAGGAAAAGGGGGCGGGGACAAAAAGAGGAGCAGGGAGAGAGGAGAGGTAAGGGAGAAAGGGATGGATGGAGGGAGGGAAATACTGATTTGTTGTTCCACTTATTTATGCACTCATTGCTTGATTCTTGTACGTGCCTCGACTGGGGATCGAACCTACAACCTTGGTGTATCAGGACAATGCTCTAACCAAATGAGCTGCCTGGCCAGGTCTCCATCCCTATTTTTGAAAAAACAATCTTAGTTGTTGTTTTTTTTAAACAGAATATATATTATAATATAGACTATTTTCTTGAGTATGAGAAATTCTGACAATCTGAAACATCAATATTTAGGAAAGAGACTAAGGAAGCTTAAAAAAAGTCTTAAAACCTAAGTTTGCTACCATTAAAACATGCTTTCTAACTGTAAGGATTCAGCAATTGTAATATTTAACCATGGACACTTACAATCCTTTGGCTAGAAAATAATATAGTGCTCAAGACTGAAGGATTTGTTATTTTCTTACTATCATGTGACAGATATCTGAAAAGACAAATTAGAACCACAGAGAATCACGTGATCAGCGAGTGAGTGATCTGTTCTTTCCCTTATTCTCCAACCCACTTTTCACCTAAATGTTTTCAATGTAAGAATGGGAAAGGTTTTATTATTTTAAAAATTTCCAAATTTATTTCATTTAGGAGGTACTCAATAAAACACTGAAACAATCTATAATTTGTTTAGCAAAACCTACTTCATTTTTCCTATTTACTTGTCCTGAGTTATTTAAATGAAATCATAGAATGTAATTCTCTGAAATATTTTTTAAGGGTTTATTCTTTTTAAAAAAAATTTATTTATTTTTAGAAAGAGGGGAAGGAATGGAGAAAGAGGGGCAGAGAAACAATGATGTGTGAGAGAAACAATGGGTTGCTTCTCACATGGTCCCAGCTGGGTACCTGGCCTGCAACCCAGGCATGTGCCCTAACTGGGAATTGAACCAGCAACCTTTCAGTTTGCAAGCTGGAGCTCAATCCACTAACCACACCAGCCAGGGCTCAAGAGTTTATTCTTACTGAAATGAATGTTTTTGTCTCCTACAACAGTATCTAACAGCAAGCACATGAATCAACTAAGAATTATTTGGGAGTGCTTCACTGCTCTTATGGTTAAGATCAACATCCTTAATATATCCCAATAACCCAGCTGCCCCTTCCTGGCTCTCCAACCTCATTTTATGCCACCTTCCCAGGCAAAAGTGCCACACTGGCCAGGCTTCTTTCAGTCTCCAATATACTTTGCTCTGTCGAACCTCAGGGTTTCTCCCTTGTGCCATTCCCTTTATTTGAAATATTTTCTGGTCTTTGCTCCCCATTTCCCCTCCCCTTTAACCCCTGCCACCTAGTTAACTCTCTAGATTTCGCCAAAAATCACTTCCTCAGGGAAGCTTTCTCTGAGGTCTAGACTAGGTGAAATTCCCTTCTTATATATCCTAAAGCACCAAGTACCTTTCTTTGATAACATTTATCACAATTGTAAATTATATGATTGTGTGCTTAGTTGAATGAAACTTTATGATTTGAGAAAATACTATGCATCATAAATTATGTTTATTACTGTTGATTCTCAAACACAGAGACAGATATACTAGACAAAATCCTCACCTGGGGGAGGCTCGAAAAAGGCTTCCTGCTCCTCCTCGATTGGCTCAGTGTCATTGTGGGCGGTCCGTTTGTGCATGGCCAGGGTGGAGATCTGCTTATATGTCTTTCCACAGTGGTTACAGTTGTATGGTTTCGAGTGAGTGTGAACAACATGATGTTTATACAAACTGGAATATTCTGTAAACCTTTTGTCACACCCAGGGACTGTGCAAACATATGGCTTTTCCCCTAAGTAAAGAACAGAACCGAAAAAATAAGAACAAAAAAAATCAACTTTTACATATAAAAGCATAATCATTCCAAACGCGGGGTGGGGGAAAGCCTATCGTGGCAAAAGGTAGTAGTTGCCAATCCCTTTCTATGCTGCCATGAGGCAGCACACAGAAAATACTCCCTAACTATACTTTTGGTATGGTTAAAAAGGTAGTTTGCACCTGAGTGTTGTTCTGAGTCTGAATGCCACTTTCCCTTATTTTCAAGGGATGAGAAAACTAAGGAGAGAGATGTTGCTTAATTTAACTCTTAAGTTTTAATAAAACTATAACTTACCTATTACTAGATAATCTAGGTATGATTAATGATATCCCACTAATAATGACAATAAGAAATGTAATTATTATTTTAACTAATGCAGTTTATCCGAAAGATTTTCTAAAAAGCCTATATAGTTTGGACACTTCAGTAACTCTAAAAAGACATACATGTATCTTATTAACTTCACTTGTCTTCTTACAACCAACCAAAAGCTACTGAATATTCACTAAAAACTATTTGGCAATACAAAGGGAAGTAAAAACTAGAAATCTTTTTCCATGAAACAACTTGAGAACAATACAACCATTTTTAGAACACTTTATTATAGAAAATTTCAAACATACACGAAAGTATAAACAGTATAATACACCCTCATGTACAAATCACCCAGCTTTAACTATCAATTCATGGCTAATATTGTTTCATCTGTTCACTACACATACCACCCCCACTCCTTCCCCCTGGATTATTCTGAAACAGCTCCAGACAGCAATCCATTGCATCTATAAATATTTCAGGTTGTATGTCTCAAAGACAGGACTTAAAAATAATTACTTAGTATCATAAACTATCTAGACTGTATTAACATGTGGTGGTGGTGGTGGTGGTGGAGGAGGAGGACAATCTAAAACTGAAAGCAAACTGGAACAAATTAACCTAATTGTGGTTTAAGTGAATACTTTAAACCATACTGAAGGGGTTGGGGTGAGAGAGAATGAATAAACTAACTAAAGTAACTCATATACACAGTATTTGACTAACACACTCAGTACTTAACTACTCCTCAGTCTTGGACTAGGTAACAAATCTTCAACTTTTTTTATGGGCAAGGCAATTCTGAAATTATTTGAGATATAATAAAAAGTTGAGCAAATAGTACATGTGTCAGTGCTGTTGGAAGCCAGAGTTCTTGCTGTGGAAGAAGGGACATACAAATATGGGATGGGGGAAGAAAAAGAGAGCTGTCGGATGAATTGCTTTATAGGTATTGGTGTAAACTCATATAATTTCTAAAAAGTGCATATGCATGTCTGTATACACATGCATGTCCTACTTCATTCTCTTTCTACACCTTCCCTAGGTAACTGCATCCTTTCCCATGGCTCTAAACAGTAAAACCACCCACAAATAGTCAAAAATCTCATACTAGTATAATCTGTAATATGAGTCTTGGACACAAAGTAAGTGGAGTTTGCCTCCTGTCCTCTCCCTAGTTCCATTCTCAAAGCAGGGCAGGTTAATTTCTTACCTTGGTAGATGGCTATGAGGGAGATACGGTAAAGGCAAAGCCAAGCAGGGAAGTGGGCAATACCAACTCGGAAAATTGGCCATATTTGCACTGAGGCTGGAGTATAAACTGCCGCTAGATGGCACCAAATCACATCAAGGGGTAAATGGCTTGGAGTTGGGCTTCTGAGCTCCCTACCAGCTAGCTGCCTGCTTCAAATGGGCCATCTCATCAACCTTGCAAGAAGAGACTGCATTAATCTTTATACTCCACTTACAGCATAATGTGGGTACTTACTGTTTCATATATTTGATGATCATTAGCCAATCCTTTCTTCCATTCCAGCCCCAGACTACCTCTTGAGTCAGACCAACATTTATCCCTACCTACTGGATCTATTTCAATGATTCTCAACCATTTATGCATACAAAAGACATGGTGAGCTTTTAATATATATTGATACCTGGGCCCCACCCCAGTAAAATTATGTTAGGATATTTGCACACATAATTTGGGAAATTAGTCTGCTTTTAAAAGGTGAATCCAATGTACAGCCACATTTGAGAGCACTGCCCTATCTGCATATTCCAAAGACCAGTACAGCCAAACTTAATGTAGGCTTTCCTCTTACCAAAATCTAACTTGCCCACAAAACATACTGACTGGCAAACTTTCAGATAATGGGTCTATATTCCATCACTTCATTTTTAAAAAATATTTTATTTAATTATTTTTAGACAGAAGGGAAAGGAGGGAGAAAGAGAGGGAGAGATGCATCAATGTGTGGTTGCCTCTCATGTGCTCCCCTACTGGGGACCTGGCCCACGACCCAGGCCTGTGCCCTGACTGAGAATTGAACTGGCGACCTTTTGGTTCCCAAGCAGGCACTCAATCCACTGAGCCATACCAGCCAGGGCTCTATTACTTTAAGGGGGAAAAATGTTTTCCCAGCCCCTGTAAAATTCCCAGCCAATTTCCCCAAATATCACAAAAAAAGTTCCTAAGCACCTGTGTTAATAACCCACCAAGAATGTCTACATAACATGAAGTACTTAAAACGCCAACTACCAAATTATTCAGCATTAAATGAACTCAGCAGTAGGTATGTCTGTATGTAATACACAATGATATGGTATAATATTGAATAGCAATTTTGTTTTCTTTCTACCTTGCAAACAAGTACTGTAATTAAAAAACTGAAGTATCTTTTTTTAAAAAAATATTTTATTTATTTATTTTTAGAGAGGGAAGGGAGGGAGATAGAGATAGAGATAGAGAGAAACATCAATGTGCGGTTGCTGGGGGTTATGGCCTGCAACCCAGGAACGTACCCTGGCTGGGAATCGAACCTGGGACACTTTGGTTCCCAGCCTGCGCTCAATCCACTGAGCTACACCAGCCAGGGCAAAAAACTGAAGTATCTTGAAGACACAAAAGGAATGCAAGTTATATTAACAAAATATACCTTTTCTTCAAACCTATAGCCACCTTTTCTATGCCTCTTAGGTTTTCACAGGCTTTTCCACTTTCTTAGAAAAGAGACAAACTTAATCATGCAGGGAAAATGATAGCAGTAACACATAACACACAATGTAAGCATGATATGATTATATCTGAAATATGGCTTCAGTGTATTGTGTGTGCGCTCATTTATAGTCATATACAAAACAACCTAATAGTTTTTCCTTTCATAGAAAAATGTACCCACAAGTAGACTTACTATAGTGGTTTTGAATTTGGGTCAGGAATTTGACTACAAATTTTGCTCTATGCCTCCAGTCACATGGAGACACTCAATGTTCTCCAAATAAGTTACCTTTTTTTTTAATACCTTTGTGGCTTTACTCATGACATTTCCACTGCCAGGAATACTCTCCCTCTGCCTAGCAAACTTTAGGACTGAATCTAAAAGTCAAATTCCCCTTAAAGCATTCCCCGAATGCTTTTCCCACAGAGATGGCCATGCCCCTCTCTACTTCCACAGAATCTTGTTCATGTAATTGGGAGACACTGCTGCAATTACATGTCTCTTGTCTTTCCTCAGCTCAACTGTCCTGGACAATGTCTTATCTGTCTCTGTATCTCTGAGGTCTAGCAGGGCAACACATAGTGGATACTTAGAAACTGTTGAATAAATGAATGTATAAATGCTAAGTTGAAGGTTTTTTTTTAAAGTTGCTTAATCCCTGTCAACCATGCCAAGTGGTAGCAAGGAGGGAAGAGATTACTTGGAATGGTTCATGGAAGAGGCAGGAGTTAAACTGAGCCTAGAAAAGTTAAAGACCAAGAAATCAGAGAGTCTTACCCGTGTGTATCCTCACATGGTTTTTATAATTGGTGGCACTGGCAAATGCCCTTCCACAACCTGGTTCTGTACAGTAATATGGTCTTTCTCCTGTGTGTGTCCTAATATGCACTTTTCTGATATTTGATGTTGTAAAAGACCGACCGCAGCCTTCAAAGTGACATTTAAAAGGCCTTTCTCCTGAAAACACAAAAGTGAGTAAATTGAATGGTGCAAAAACATAGATAAAATTGAAATGTCTTATCTTTCCATTCTGCTTAGGGTCATGCTCAGGACACTAACCTTTTTGTATACGAGCTTCCTTTCCCTTTCAGATTGTTCACCACCCCCCCACAACCCTGCCCCATGAATAGCATCTTCTGCTCCAAACTTAAATTTACCTAGATGTGTATCCTAGGTAAATTAGCCTATTACTTAGATGCTTAGATAATCCCTAAAAACTGAGAGAACTGACAGTCTAGGGCTAATCTTTTTGGGGACACAGATCGTTTTAAGAATCTACAAAGTTACGGGCCCTCATCCTGGAAAGAAGCATACATGCTCAAACGGCAAACTGCATGGAGTTTCAGTTCAAGAGAAACCCTTGATGATGACTCCCTGAAACTCTTCCAGAGACCCCTTTCCCACATGCCCTCCCTGCATGTAAGAAATGCCTAGATAGATGTGTTCACACCAGTACCTGTATGAGTTCTGATATGTTTCTGTAGATCTCCTGAAGTTTTGAAGGACTTAGTACAATTATCTTCTGAACACCGATATGGCTTTTCTCCTGTATGGGTTCTGACATGACTTTTTAATCCATAACCTTTAAGAAAAATGTAAAAGAAACTTAATTACACAAGACCCCTCTTACCATGACCAACAGGTCGCCAGTTCGATTTTCAGTCAGGGCACATGCCTGGGTTGCAGGCCAGGTCCCTTGGTCGGGGGCATGCAAGAGGCAAATGACTGATGTTTCTCTCACACATCATTGTTTCTCTCTCTCTCTCTTTCTTCCTCCCTTCCCCTCTCTAAAAAGAAATTTTAAAAAGTACAAGAGTGTGACAGCTCAGGACTCTCATACTGAAAATTCAATAGCTGCATCTTGGTCTAAAAGAGGTTTTGTGCCATTTTCCCAAGTGCCCAACCTTATTAATTGTTCATAACTCATAATCCAAAAGCCTGAAGTGGAACTGAGACATGGAATGAGAAAGAGGACAGGGTAGAAGTCAAGAGGCCTGGTACTACTGAGTCCTGGCCCTGCTCAACATGTCCCTGAACAGGCCTGTCCCACAGCTAAGTCCGGTTCCCCATGGCTCTCCCTAAGACATGTCCTAATGTTAAATTCTGTATCAGCTTTTAATGCGCAGCTTTTATTTATCTTGCTAAAAGAAAGCAGAGTGTGGAGTGAAACACTGAACATAGTAGGCAGGAACAAAACAGGCCTGAGGAGAAAATGGAAATGAGAGTGAGAGAGTGAGAGAGAGTGGGGGGGGGAGGGAAGGAGAGAGAGGGGGGAGAGGGGGGGGGGAGAGAGAGGGGGAGAGGGGGAGAGAGAGAGGGGGAGAGAATAGAGCAAGCAGGAGAAGAGGTAGTTAATGGAGAGACTGAAAAAACGTCATTATGCCAAAGGCAAGGGGTCAGTTCCTGCCTCTGGCCTGTCTCTGCTTGACCCCAACTTACACCAAGAAACAGAGAAAATGTGTGTTTTTACCTGTTGCAAATGCTTTCCCACAGCCTGGATGCTCACACTGATAGGGCCGGTCTCCTGTGTGTGACCTCTCGTGAACCTGTCATTAAAACATAGGCATGATTCTATTTCCTTTAGGCACTCCTCAGGTAGATGGTCTCAACATAGTCCTATTCTTTTCACTGTGGAATTATTTTGTTGTTTGTATGTTATTTTTAATAAAAAAGATAACACTTCTTTTCTCAAAAACTATTCCAATAATTACCAATATACCAAATGTTTTATGTTAAGAGGTACTCATTTTAAATAAGAAATAGGAACAGTGGAGGTGTGCGTTTTCTAAGGTGGTCAAAGGTGTCTGCATGGAACATATACATGGTGAGAGAGGGGAGCAGAGTGTAGGGAGAGGCTACACATGCAAGGTTAAGGGTGGGGAGGCTGCTGCTGGAGGGCGCTCGGTCTGAGGCAAGGCTTCGCCACTGACTAGTGCTGTGGCCATGACACTGCCTTCTCTAAGCCTCAAACTCCTCTCTTTAAAGTGGGGACAAAATAGTACCTACCATCGAGTGCTGCTGTGACAAGTGAATGATCATGACAATGGGCAACAATTACTGAACTTCTACCACATGCTGAGCCATTCTTTTCGATGTTTTACATGTACAATTTCATTTAATTTTCACAACCAATCTAAGAGGGATGTACTTTTTATCATCCAGCTTTAAAGATGAGGAAAATGAGGTACTAAGAGGTCAGGTAACAAGTTAAGGTTCTACACAGATAAGTAGTAGAGATGGACTCTGAGGCCGCTACTCCAAATATGCTAACACGCACTTCCTGCCACACTCTAAGCTATCCAGTAACTGCTATTATTTCTGAGTCATGGTTATTGTGTTTAGCTGCAATGAAAGTAATTGGCTTATATATGTGGAAGAAGAGACAAGCTAACACCAACTTTTGCTCGATTTCAGCAAATCACTATTAACAGAGTGATTACACACACCGCTCATATAATTATAAAAATTTCACATTTGAGAAAAGTGTATTCAAATATATGGAGTACCTACCATGTACCAGTAGGGAGACAGAGATGAAGTAAACACACTCCAAGCCCTCAAAATGTTAACATTTTCTGAAATCAGTACAGGCTTTTGTGTGTCTTTGTATGAATGTGAGTGTATATCTATACCTTGATAAGTGGGAGAAAACAATGGCATTTGAATACTACAATATCATGTTGACATTAAATGTCCTACGTGTTCTCATAACTAGATTCAACATTTCTTTACAGATACCTTAAGATGATGAGCTGTTGTATATAATTTTCCACATCCATCATATTCACATCGAAATGCCTTCTCTCCACTCTGTTGGGATTTAGCAGTTACTCTTGTTGCATGTCCTTGTAAGACAATCTAGATTTATAAAAGTATGACTGAAATTATTGAGAGAGACAAAATAGATGAAATTGCTATTTTCATTATAAAAAAGATAAAACTATAATGTAGGTTCCCAGACTTAGGTCATCATTTTAGGAAAACTCTATCATGCTCAGCCAGTTAGGCTAATTCTGTCCCATGGCTGCAGTCAGTGGCTATGGAAGAAGTCAAAAGGAGATCCACAAGACAGTACAGTTAGAGCTCATGGAGGTACAGGAGGCCCTGCTTATCCACAGGGCGTGCATTCCAAGACTCACAGTGGACACCTGAAACCACAGATTGGACCGAACCCTATATACACCATATTTTCTTTTATATGTACATGCAAGAATTTTTAACTTTCTCTCTTTTTAAAAAATTTTTTTAAAAGATTTATTTATTTATTTTTAGAGAAGGAAGGGGAGGGAGAAAGAGAGACAGAGAGAAACATGAATGTGCGGTTGCTGGGGGCTGTGGCCTGCAACCATGGCGTGTGCCCTGGCTGGGATTCGAACCTGCAACACTCTGGTTCGCGCAGCCCGTGCTCAATCCACTGAGTTACGCCAGCCAGGTAACTTTCTCTTAAAGGAATCACTTTAAGGCTTCTCTTTGGCATATCTCAACTGTCAGCATCACTACTCCAGCACTTTGGGGCCATTATTAAGACAAATAAGACTATTATTAAGTAAAATATTATTAAGTACTTGAACACAAGTACTATCATTCAATGACAACTTTCTGATAACTGAGATAGCTACTAAGTGACTAACAGGGGGGCAGTGTGTACCTCGTGGATACACTGGACTAAAGAATGATTCATGTCCTAGGCACGATGGAGCAGGACAGTGTGCGATGTCATCATGCTACTCAGAATGGCACACAATTTAAAGCTTACAAATCATTCATTTCTGAAACTTTCCATTTAATATTTTTGGACTGCAGTTGACCATGCGTAACTGAAATCACAGTTAAGGGGGACTACTGTATTGCTGCTCTAGAAAAATCAACCCAAGTAACATATCCATTGTATGTAGGTATTCCATGATACACACATACACACACACGCACACACACAAAACTTATTTATGTATTTTAGGACATGTATCCTAAAAGCAATGTAGAAAGCATTTTCAACTTCCAATAATAAATTAGAAATGGTCCCTGCCTTAGTAGGGCTCTCATTCTAGTTAGTGAAATTGTCTTATAAATTAGGGATTATGACAGAATATACCAGTTGCTATCATAGCAGTTCATGCAAAGTTCTATGAGGGACAAAATTGAAAAGCAGGCAGAGATTCAGGTTATGGTGAGCTGTTTAGAGGTAAAATCTGAAGGCTAAAGAACAAGGGTAGGGAGAGCAGCCCATGCAGAAGGGTTACTATAACCAAAAGTATGAAAGTGTATCAAAAAAGAAATGGAAACTTAAATCAGAGTGCTATGTCTCCATAATGAAATGAATAACATGAAAAAGAAAGGAAATGTAGAACCACATTTGGGAAGAGTTTTAGATGTCATTCTGAAGAGCAAGCCTAGATAATAATAATAATAAAAAAGCAAAAGAACGGCAATACAATTTTTAAAGTAAAGGATTGACCAAGATTAGCTCTGTGTTTTAAAGAGAGAACTCTGATAACAGTATGGAACAGAGTGAAAGACAAAAAAGGCAAAGAGACTAGAAGAAATTTGGATAATTATAACTATAGAAGAAGTAATGAAAATCAGCCTAGGTCAATGACTATGGAAGAGAAAACAATAGATGATTCTGCAGACTTTTCAAAGGGTGAAAATAGGCAAAATCCAAAATTCAAAAGCTAAATTAATAAGCTAAAGCTAAAACGGGTATTTTAGGGTTACACAATATTGAATATATAAAGTCTTTGTCAAAAGAAAAATAACCTGATATATTATCACAAGGGAAATGTCTTAAGGTCAATTCAGAAGTTAACACTGCCCTGGCTGTGTGGCACAGTGGACTGAACACCAGCCTGCAAACCATGAGGTCGCTGGTTCAATTCCTACTCGGGGCACATACCTGGGCTACAGGCCAGGTCCCCAGTTGGGGTCACGCAAGAGGAAACTGATCAATGTTTCTTTCATACATCGATATTTCTCTCCCTCTTTTTCCTCCTCCCTTCCCCTCTCTAAATATAAACAAAATCTTTAAAAAATACATAATTTCTGTCAATAAGTCTTTAAAAAAAAAGAAGCTAACACCAGCAAAATGCCTTAACAGCTTCTAAAAACATCTCTAAAACATGATTTCACTATTTACGCTTAATATATGTTCTGAAAATTAAAAGATAAAAGCTCTGCAATATATTCATTGTGTAACCTTGTGTAAGTCATGTAGGATCTGTTTGCCTATCTGCATAAAAAACATCTTATACTAAGTCAGTGATATTTTTTTCTTTTAAGCTTTTTTAAAGAAGTAAAAATCCTTTGCCAGATGAAATCTTACACAGCATTCTACTCCGTAAAACACACAGGGCTATCCCAGCTGCTGCTGGTCCTGGCAGATGTGGGTGGCACAGAGCTCTGCCAGCCCCCGAGGGACCACAAAGAAACCCTAAGGCCTCCCAAAATTACAGTTTAAAAACCACTGTACAAGATAATTAGTGCTAAGTCCCTTAAAGCTTTAACATTCTAGGATTCTGAGGAGGTGCAAACTACCATGGTAAATAAGGGGCTGGATTTAAGACTGAATTCCAAAATGCCTTCAATAGTGGAGATTAACGACCATTAATTGAGGAGTTGCATTTATGTAATGTATTGTGGTAGGTGCTATCCATGTGCTTCATGACTGCCCAATAAACTGTTATTTATGATTTACAAATTTAAAAAATTAAGACCAGCATGGTTAACTAATGCAACCTGCCCTTGGGTCAGAAGATGAGAACCAGGATTTGAAACAGATTGGCTCTAGAGCTCAAGTCACTAACTCTCCAGGCCTCAGGATGCTATAGCCCAGTGATAACTGGCTAGCAGAGCTTCTGTAGCCATAGTGAGGGGCCTGGTAGGGCTGAGGGTAACTAGCACATTTTATCACCTGATTTAGCACTTAAAATTCCATTTATCATAATGGCCTAATGAACATTTTAGATAAATGTTGGGAACCGCCCTGACTGGTATCAGAAGCTGAAACCCCCGCCTAGCTAAGGCTAAGGGAACACCCTTGGAACCGTAAGCCAGCAAGGAGACAAAAGCTTATCTCCCTGGCAGGAATGCTGCTTCTGCTGCTTTATTCATGACTGAACCCAAAAAAGCTTGGTCGGTTAGCCAAAGACGGGTAAGATTCCCCACAGGGGGAACAACCTAAGCCAGGCACGATCACTTTGGGAGGCCCCCCAAAAGAAGGACTTGGGGGGCTGCAGCAAAAGGGGGTGATGGACCCTCGCTCCTCGGCTTTGACATAGCCTGAGCTCTCAGCATCTGGGAAAAAACCTCCTTGTCTCCCAGTTGCCTTAGTTCCCTTGCTCCACCTAAGCCTGAAACAATGACAGGGTGGTGCAGCTCTGTACTGAGAAGTGCGGATTCCCGGGGTGATCAGGCCTAAGAAAGAACATGTAAATTACTGTGAAACCTTCTTTGTTTAGAATGCTCTCAGTTGAATGAGAAGGGTCTTAGGAGGAAGTTAGTTTGTTCCTCAGTCTTACAGCTCTTTGACCCCCAACTCAATAGACCGGCAGAGTTCTTTGTTTTTCTATGGTTCCTTACTTCCCCCTAATGAGTACTGTACTTTACCTGAATTATTATGCAGAATGAGCCCAATAAAAGCAGGTATGGACTGTAAATCAGCGCGCTCCCCACTAGGGGGGGTGGCCATTCCGTCCCTACTTCCCCACAGAAACTAGTTTGTCTCTGTGCATGTGTGTTTTTTCTCGCGTGTTTATCGTCGAGCCATCCACAGCATTCCGTGGTCACTGCTGGCCGGTGACGCATGCGCAACAGATAAACTCTTGTCATTTGATGAGCTTAAACTTGTTTATTAGGGTATAAATAATTTATACTCTTGGGGGAAAATAAAATAGAAACAACTTGATCTATTTTTAAAAGTATGTTCTCTTTTAAGAAAGGAATTAATCACTGAAGTGTGGCAACAGAGGGGTCTCGAAGGAACCATGGGGAGACATCAACATTGCCAGAAAGACTTAAGATACAAACAAACAAATCCCACACATTTCTAATGATTACTATTGGGTAGTGGTACTCAACTTTTTAGTTTTACCTCTCTACCATTTGGATTTTTGAAATATAAACATGATTACCTTTTTTAAAAAAGAAGGTATCTATACAGTAAGTTAATTGGTCATTTTATTTTTTTACTTTGTACTTCTATTAAAAAAAAAAAAAGCCCTGGGTGGTGTGGCTCAGTGGATTGAGTGTTGGCCTGCGCACCAGGAGGTCACAGATTAGATTCCCAGTCTAGAGCACATGCCTGGGTTACAGCTGGGCTCCCAGGGACAGGGATGGGGGTGGGGCGGGGGTGAGGTGGGGGAACGCATGGCATGCATGAGAGGTAGCCATACATTGATGTTTCTCTCTTTCTCCCTCCCTTCTGCTCTCTAAAAATTTAAAAATAAATTTAATTTAAAAAAGTAAAATAAAATAAAATAAAATAAAATAAAATAAAATAAAATAAAATAAAAAGTTATTGCCCTGACTGGTGTGGTTCACTGGGTTGGGCATCATCCAGCAAACCGAAAGGTCGCTGGTTCTATTACTGGTCAGGGCACATGCCTGGGTTGTGGGTAAGGTCCCTGGTTGGGGATGCACAACAGGAAACTGACTGGTTTCTTTCACATATTGATACTTCTCTTCCTTTCTTTCTCCCTCCCTTCTACTCGCTCTAAAAATAAATAAAATCTTAAAAAATGTTTTTTAAAACTACTAAACATATTATTTTTTTTTAAATCCTGGGTTCCACTGTAGACCTAACTTATCGAATCTCTGGAATTTGGTCTTAGTCATGGGTTATTTTTAAAAGCTCCACAGCTTAATTTTGTATTTATCTCTGATTAATAACCCCTTATCCAATACCTTTCTTTTAGGGGGAAAAAAAAAAGGCTTAGAAAAGCAAGGTTCAAGATCACATAGCTAGATAAAAATACAGAAAATATATATGAAGTATGATCCACATTAAAACTGCCTATACTAAACAGGTTTTGGGATGATCATCCAACCCATTTTTGAGCGAATCTGCTACCCTATCCACAGACTCTGATAACCAGAAAAGATGGTATATCTAAAGCTAGCCAGTGATCTGTGCCTTATGTGGCCTGGCTTAAAAAGTCAATCTGAACCCTGGCCGGTGTGGCTCAGTTGGTTGGAGAGTTACCCTATAAACCAAAGGTCGTGGGTTTGATTCCTGGTTGGGGTACATGGCTGGTTAGTGGCTTCAGTACCTGGTTGGGACATGTACCAGAGGCAACCAATCGATATTTCTCTCTCACATAATGCTTCTCTTCCTCTCTTTCTCCCTCCCTTCTTTTTCTCTAAAATCAATAAACATGTCTTTGGGTGAGTATTAAAACAAAAAACAAAAAAACACGTCAAACCGAGTCCTGAAATCTTGACCTAAGGAATCTTGAGTTGAACATGGGTGGTAAACCTGAGAAGGCATGGCTGTGATGAGCCATGTGTAAACTCAGTGACAATGCAAAGAAAGCCTGAGTGTAGAGAAAAGAAGGGCATGCAAGAGGGGAGGAGGATGAAAAAGGAAGAATGAAAATAGCCTTCAGTGATGCCTCCTTTGCAAGCCAGATGGCTCTGGTTCCTGTGAAATTCAACTGTTCAGCAGTTCCTATTTTTGGCTTCTTGTATAGCTATATAATATATCTATCTTGAGCTAGCTTGACTAACTTTCTATATTACTAAAGCTGTGATTAAAACTGGCAAGCCAAAAACTTTGATTTCCATCCAATGTAAATAAAATTAGTTTTGAATAAAGTCAAAACTAATGGAAACCATGAAAAAGGCCTGGTATTCTAACAGAACACCTAAGTGCCAATAATGCAATATCATCCTTATACATTTACAAATTATGTTTTCATGTCTTAACTAAAATATTAATCAAATGAAGATCACATTTGATTTTCATAATCCCATGAGATACGTAAGGCAAAAAGTATTATTATTCAAATTTAGCAGATAATAAACCTCAGATCCAGAGGTTATATAGCTACTACATAGCAGATATATTGCTCTGTTATATAGCTACTACATAACAGAGTGGAAACTCAACTCAGATTTTTTTTATTACCAATAATATGCTATTTTAATACTATGCTGTTTGCTACTTAACCAAGGTGGCGTAACCTGAGGGCAGTAACTGCAGCAGTAGTCTCCCCCATACATACACCCTGTCATCCTTACAGTTCTTATAACTGAATACCTGGGCATTCTTTTTTTTTTTTAATCCTCATCCACAGATATTTTTAAAACTGATTTTAGAGAGAGAGGAAGGGAGAGAGCGCACGAGAGAAACATCGATTGGTTGCCTCCCATATGCACCCCAACCTGGGATTACACCCATAACTTCGGTATGTGCCCTGACCAGGAATCAAACCAACATTTTGGTGTACAGGACAATGCTCCAACCAACCAAGCCATCTGGCCAGGGCCTAGAGTTGCAACTTCTTAAGCAACTCTGGTAGAAGTAGCAGGAGTACCAACAGACAAGCTGAGAAGTTGCAGGTGCTGCTTAATTGCAGTGGTTCTTTAAGGATATTTTGACATTTTAATACCATGTGCTGGGCCCTCAAACTCAAATATGGTACTTGATTGTTTTAGAGGATGAAGGATTCATGAAATTCTGGTCCAGCATTAACGGAGAGAAATATAATGAGTCATGAATACAAGAAACATGTAATTATAAATGTTCTAGTGTAGCCACATTTTACAAGTAAAAACAAACAAAAAAAAGTGAAATTAATTTTAGTAATTATTTTAACCCAGTATGTCCAAATTATCATTTCAACATCTAATCTATATGAGGTTTTATTAATGAGATATTTTACATTCTTTTTTCATAATAAACCTTCAACATCCTTTAAGTAGTCTACACTCACAGCACATCTGAATTCTGACTAGCCAGATTTCAAGTGCTCAGTAGCCACATGTGGCTACCATACTGGACAACACAGATCTAGTCTGTAAGGGAGAAGTAAAAAGGGCAAAGGAGAAAAAGCTACAATAAAAAAAATATCCTATTCGACTTTCTTCTATTTCTTTGTCCACTGGCATCAACATCAAATGGTCTATGTCTGCATAAAGAGTTATAGGGCTTTTAATAACATGCTGCAGCTCTGAATTACGAGTGACACATCTGGCTCAGAAGTTAATTATTGATAGTAACAAGCTTTTATGATAATAGTATACTATAAAGTTACGCTCATTTTTCTGTAGGATGCATTCTATATTAGTTATTATAAGTGTAGTCACAACTGTCTTTCTTTGGAAATAATCTATTTAAAAATTTAATTGTCAGTCACTAACAAGACATAAAACCCTTAATGGGCAACCCCAAGGCACTGACCTACACCTCTCTTTCTTTAAATCCTTTAAAATGTTTTTTATTTATTGATTTTCTTTTTTTTGGGTGGGGGGGACACATTGATTTGTTGTTCCATTCACTAATGCATTCATTCGTTGCTTCTTATATATACTCTGACTGGGGATTGAACCTGCAACCTTGGCATATTGGGACAATGCTCCAACCAACTGAGCTACCTGTTCAGGCCTTGACCAACATCTTTTGTACATATTTACACAGTATTTGAATTTCAGAAGAGGTTGACTTAGTAAATTGCAAACTGCTTATACTGCTGCCGCTTCATGGAAAACATAAATAGTTGGCTGTTCAGCAATGTTTAGAAGTATCAAATTTCTACATGATTCCTGTTATTGTATCATTTCCTGTTATTATAAATGTAAAATCTTATTGATAATCCTTAATAGTATTGCTCAAGTTAAGAAGTGTGACCCTGAAGCAGTAACTTTAAGATAGGAGATAAAAATGATAAAACTCTCAGATGAATGCAAACACTACTGAGGGAGCAGTCAGGAAAATATTAAGAGGTAATTGCTGAGAAAAAGAACGGCATGAAAACAAGAATATGCTACAATGATTATAGAAGCTCCAAGGACACCCACCCATACAACAACAAAAATACATAATTCAAAACAGTCTTGAATTATGCAAGTTTTGAATTTTTGAATTGTAGAACTCCCAGAATGCATCTGTGACTATTTTGTCCTAACTACAAAACTTTTAGAGGCACTGCTGCTCTAGGCTGTTATTTGGGTAAGGGGTAGACAATAACTAAATCCAGGGTAAACATCTGAAACAAGGGCAGCCAACCCATGGACATATGCAGCCTAGGAAGCAGTCTGGTACAAAAGGTACAAACAGCTTTGCCCAGTGCAAACAATAATAATTGGCTAGACGGGACCTTTTTTCCAGGAGCTGAAAAGGAAAGTATGGAGGGAATTGGAAGCAGAAGAAACAAAAAGATACAAAAAGCCAAATCAGTTCACATAGTGCCCAAAATTGCCTTGGATTATAGAATACAAGGTTCATCTGGATTTCTGTGGTATTTCTATATGATGAATCTTTATACCTGAGATAGTTTGAGAAAGTTGCTAATACATACTGCACAATGTTTTTTTTCCTATTTTTATTGATTTTAGTGACAGAAAGGTGGGGAAGGGAGGGAGAGAGAGGGAGAGACCAGGGGAGGGGGGAGAGGGAGGGAGAGATGCGGGGGAGAGAGATTTGTTGTTCTACTTATTTATGCATTTCTTGGTTGATTCTTGTATGTGCCCTGACCAGGGATTGAACCTGTACCTTGGCATATCAGGATGATGCTCTAATCAACTGAGCTAACAGGCCAGGTATGTTGTACGCTATTTTTCTGAAATGGTAAGATTTTCCTAGAAAGGTAGTGAGATTCCCTGTTCTTGCTTGCATCCCTAAAAGGGTTTAAAAATGCTAACAGAAAGAGATTCTGATATAAAAAAGTGGCTTTGCATACCTGCATTTTTTTCTCTTGCTCATTCTCTCCAATCATTCCAGTACCTGTTATACTTTCACTTCCATCGATGGACACCTATAGGGATAAAATAAAGCTTAAAAAAGTTTTACATTTTGACCATTGTTTAGCCTGGGTGGTAAGTTCATGGAGAGTCATTATTGTTTATTTCTATGTATATTGAAAATTTTCATAATAAAAAGTAGGAAAAATAACCTTTTAAATTATATGAAAGATATTAAAAATCCAGCCCTTTTGATGTAAAACTTAATTGAGACTTTCCTTCATCTTTTCCAATCTCTATTTTTCTACTTCTTAATTCATAAGTAGTTCTATATATAATCTATTATTTCTCTTATGGTACTCACTCATCCTTGCATATAACTTTTGTGAGTTACCCTCCACCCATTTCTTTTCTATAACCTCTTATTCCATCCCATTACTCTTCTCCCAATATTTCTTTTTACATACTTCTTTTAAGATAAATGCTGATCTCCTTTCTGCTGTCTGATTCCGACTCTGAATTGCTAGTTTCTTATTGGATAAAGTATACAAGTACACTCTTTTGTTTTCTTTTTTAATGAAAAATAAAGAAGAACGTTCTTGACATTGTAAAATGATGTACCTTTGCTGCATACTGTTCCAAAGCACTGATAGTTTCAGGGTCAATTGTGGCATCCCCAGTGTGCAAACCTGCCACTGTACCATCAGCCTGAATTGCTAGGATGGTATCGGACTGTGGGACTTGCACTGCGTGGTGGATGTAAGCTGTGGTGCCATCTTCCAGCTGAACTGCCTGTAATGCGCTCTGGTCATAACTATCTGAGGGAGTGGAAGAGAATGGCATTAAAATAAAGGTAGTCTGATAAACAGTTACATATTTAAGGGAAGAAGGGAGTGAAGTTTTACTAAATAGTTACATAAGCCCTGGCTGATGTGCCTTACATGTGTTATTTCATTTGATCCTCACAATTCTGCAAGGCAAGTATATTTACCACCCACACTGGACAAATGGGAAACTGTGATTTTGGGAACCAGGAAATAAATAAAGCTAATTAGCAGTCAAAAATCAGTACATCAAGAAACAAGGATGAATTCATGTCAGTGTGACTCCGAAGTCCATGGGTTCTTTTCCCTCTAAATAACCACACAATGCTATACACAGCATTGTGAAATAGTAAACCTATCCAACTAAAACAAACCCATGATCAACTCCCACTGCTAAAGATAAACTTCAGAGATTACTTTTTCTCATCTTTAATTAAACAAATTTACTTATAAAGTATTCTAAATTTTTAAAAATTTGCCCTTGGTTTCACAACTAAACAGTCTTTCTAAAACATATTACATCATTCTATAGTAAAATATTTTATAAAGTAATAACAACAGCTGGTGTTTATTAAGCATTTACTGTGTGACAAGCATTGTTCTAAGTGCTTTATATATGTTTGCACATTCTATTTCGCAACAACCCTGATGTGGATACTGATTATAATCCTCATTTTACAGATCATGAAACTGAAGCACAGTGAAGTTAAGTAATTTGCTTAAAGTCACACAACTAAACAGGTGCAGACAGAGATTTGAACTCAGATAGTTTGGCTGCAGAGCTATGCTCACTACTCCTATGCATTCCACCTGCCCAGTCCTCCCCACACAAAGTTAATAAACATTAACATTTTGCTGTATTTGCTTAAGGCAGTTTTAAATTTTTATTTAGTTTTAATTAAAGATCAACATAATAGACAAAGTAGTTATATTTAAGAAGAAGAAAAATCAACAATTTAACTTTCAAATATTTAATTTCGTATTTTAACAGCAGCCTGTATTTGAAGTCCTTTAGGGAACAGAGGTTTGCTTTGAGACCTGCTATTGGACAGCTAAAATCAGAAGGTTTTTGCTCAGTCTGTGCCAAAATCTGCTTTCTTGTACTTGAAAACTAGCATAAATCTCCTTTTATGTGACAGCACTTCATTAACAACAGACATGTCTTATTTTAGCCACATACCCATTTCTTCCTTATTTTATTTCCAAAATTATTTTACCTTTGGAGGCATGGTGAATAAATGCTGTAGTTCCATCTTCTAACTGCACTGCTTGACCATCCTCTAGACGTAAACTGTCCCCTGCTCGAGAACAATGCTTACATTTAGATCCCATGTTTTCTGATAACTCAGCAACAACAAGGTAAATAAATCATGCCCTGGCTGGTGTGGCTCAGTGGATTGAGCACCAGCCTTTGAACTGAAGGGTCACTGGTTTGATTCCGTCAGGGCACATGCCTGGGTTGTGGGCCAGGTCCCCAGTTGGGTGCTTCCAAGAGGCAACCAAATGATGTATCTCTCACACATCGATGTTTCTCTCCCTCTTTCTCCCTCCCTTCCCTCTCTCTATAAATAAATAAAGATTAAAAAAAAATAAAATAAATCAAACACATAAAAACTGCACTTGCTTTATGGGTCCTTTGAATTTACATAATTTCAGCAAAACTGCTCTCAATAAGTGTTTAATGGTAAAAAGACATTAAGATACTTGTTTTAGAAATATATACCAGGGTATAAGAAGAGTTGAAAGAAGGAAAAAAAGAAAAAAATCAGAGACATCTGGCTCTCTCTGTGACATCTACTGATCTTCCCTTTTAGAAGGAGGACTAGAGATCAGGACTAAGTTTAGGTAGTAAGAAGGGATGGAGGCAGAAAATACTAAAGTATTAAAATCAGGAGGGTAAGTAATATCAAATACTTACTAGTTTTAGGAATGGGTACATGTTGAACATAGGCAGCAGAACCATCTTCCAACTGAATGACCTGGCCATCTATAAGTTTTCCATCTGAAACAAAACATTTAAACCATTGAATTAGAACAAGCAAAAAATTTAAACTTTATACAATTTCAAAATGATATCAACTATAAAAACATACACTACTTAAGATCATGTTCATCTTGGTTCTTCCCTCAATGTTCTGAGGCAATTCAATAACACATCCAGTGATCCTACAGAAAGCAGAAAATCCTCCCTCAGCCATCCTTCCTCCCCTCCAATTTCCAATTAGACAAGTTCAAGAGGAAGAGTGGCTCATCACAGCAGACTACATGAGTTGAACCTCTGTACACTTTTCAGAGCCACCTAGAAACAGTAACTCTGAACAGGGGGAAGCTGAAGTTGGGAAGAATAGACAGATATATCAATGTACGTGAGGCCATTCTCATCCCAGGGGGCACAAGTCCCTTGGCTATGTATATACGTGTTTAGTAGGTTTCCATAAAAACAAGAAGTTTGAGAAGTAGGTTATTTCTTGGATCAAAGTAAACACTGATTCAGAGGCAATGTTATAAAATTAAAACCAAATGTCTTTACTCTTTGCATATTGCTTAAAAACATTAAATAATAACTTGAACTATAAAAAGCAAGAAAGGTCTTAATAGAATTAGGTTATGGACACTCCTCTCTCCCTCACTTAATTCTGATACCCCACAGTATCTTCCAAATATCTCAAAGAGTATCCCCAAATTATTAAAACAATATTTAAGTTAAACTGAAACTAGTAAGAATTGGGAAGGGGTAGAGTTGCTAAGTGCTCCAACTCTGAGGATATTATGCATTGCTGATATTAACCAATGGGTTGTAATGAGGTACGTACCTTTAGAATTATGTTGTATATAAGCAGTAGAACCATCTGCAAGTGTTACTGCTTGCAAGCTTACACCTTCCATGTTTTCTAAATTGTCACCATCTATTATAAAAATACAATTATTTTCTTTAGATAACTATCATGTTTACATGCTGTTTAAATTAATTTTTTAAAACGAAAATTAGGCAAAAGTCAGACTGCTTAACTTAGGCTCAAGTGCGATTTCTTCTAGTATTTACAAAATACATTTTCCTGCCCCAACAAACCCAGCATCTACACCAAGGTAAAAATGCTTATTGAAAGGCTTAGCTTTAGGTTGTCTTTAGCTAAATGAGAAAAGGAATGTAAATTCAGTGTTGTGATTTTTCATTTTCCCTTAAGATAAATGGTATTTCCAAACCCACATAATCCCTTCAAATAAGACTGCTCACCTGCCACAGTTACTGCCTCTGTCAGACACAGGGTAACATGCTGAGCCTCCATTCCTCCTCCAGGAAACTCTGTCATTCCCTGAGAGTCTCGATTTATTTGGGCTAACAACATTTTTTACCTTGAAGAAAAATACAGCCCTTGAGAACAAAGAACAATGCACATGAAATAAAAGCTACAAAGAATATTTATGAACCATAAAAAAATGCCAAGGAAATAAACAGTTTTTGAAGTAAGCTGAAATTTCACTTAATACACAGGGTAAAAGTATGAACTCAAAGTCCAAGTCATGCTTTTCATAATTTATCAGTAAACTACTGAGCACACTGGCAAGTCTTGCTTACCAGTTTTGTACCATGTCTAAAATTCCCACAATTAGAGTTCTTTGGGCTTAACGTGGTTGAAGATTCCCACTTATATTCCGTTAGCAATCCTGTTGACTCAATCTTCAGAAATCTATCCTGAATCTGGCCTCTTCTCACAACCTTTGCCATTACTTCCTTGATACAAGTCACTGCCATGTCTCAACCACATTCCTGCAAAAGGCTCTCATGTATGTGGGAGTCTCTGACTCTCATGTTTGTGGGGATATGTATTAAATTTGTTTTTTTTTTCTCTTGCTAATCTGTCTCACATCTGTTTGATTAGACCAGCCAGAAGAACCCTGGGGGTAGGAGCAAGTTTGTTTCTTTCCTATAACTGCATTCATGTTTTTAAATATGTATATAAATATCTATACAGGCTATACAATGTATATACATTTATAAATTCAAGAGGTCCTCCCAGAAATGGGACTAGGAAATGAGGGTAGAGTGAGGAAGGGACTTAATTTTTTACTGCATATCTTCTATAAGTTAAAGGTTTTTTTTTTTACCATGTTTATGTCCATGATTTTTTTTTAAAAGTAGTTACTATAAACAGAAGCATTAAGAGAAAGCAGCACGTAACTTTGCCTCAGGGGTGCAAATACCAGAGCATGTAAATTTGGGCATAAAAAGGTAAGTAAGCATTTCCTAGGGGTAGAAAACAGAAAGGGTGGTCCAGACTGAGGGAACAACCTTTAATTGCACTGGCTCCTCACTACCCAGGTCTCAGTCATCATTTGAATCCTACATTATTTGCTGTTACTTTGATTTACCTTTCCACCCATTCATGCATTTACCAGTTGACTCCTGCAAGTGCCCCCATTGGGGATTGAACCTGCAACCCCAGCGTATCAGGAAGATGCTCCAACTGACTGAGCTACTTGGCCAGGGCCCTCATTATGTTTTTATGATCATAGATTTCATGTATATTATGGCTTTATAATTTGCTGCCATTTATGCTTTTTTTTCTTTTGTGTGCTATGCATTTGAATCTTGCTCAACTCCTAGGCAATTAACCTGCTGCTAAGCCTCCATTTCCTCCTTTGAAAAGAATGGAAGAAGACCCAACTGACAGGGCTGTTGTAAGAATTAAGTGAAATAATGTATTTAAAGCCTTTAGCACCGAAGATGTACTTTTTGCCAGTTTTCTTTATGCAAGTGAGAAAAGTGAGGTTTATAGAACCTTGTTTTAGGCTGAAAAGCTTCTGATCCCTGATAGCTAATGCTCTTCTCTCATCTTACCAGTCCTTTAACTCCTACATCCAGTCTGCCCATTAGATTATAAACCTTCTGGAATATGTGCTATGTCTTTTGGGTCTCTGGAATTTTGACCACAAGATTATATGTTCAATAAATATCTAATGAAGCCCTGGCTGACATAGCTCAGTGGATTGAGCATGGGCTGCGAACCAGGCATCACAGGTTCGATTCCCAGTCAGGGCACATGCCTGGGTTGCAGGCCATGACCCCCAGCAACCACACATTGATGTTTCTCTCCCTCCTCTCCCTCCCTCCCTCCCTCCCTCTCCCTCTCTCTCTCTCTCTCCCTCCCTCTCTCCCTTCTCTAAAAATAAATAAAATAAAATCTTAAAAAAAATATCTAATGAACCTGGGCTGGGTCAGTGGACTAGGCACGGGCTTGTGAACCAAAGGGTCCCCAGTTCAATTCCCAGTCAGGGCACATGCCTGGGCTGTGGGCCAGGTCCCCAGTAGGGGGAGCACGAGAGGCAACCACACATCGATGTTTCTCTCCATTTCTTTCTCCCTGCCTTCACTTCTAAAAATTAAATAATAATAATAATAATCTTTAAATAAATAAATGGGTAAATAAATAAACAAATAACAAGTCTGACATACCTCATGTTGCAGAGTGCTTTACAACGGTCATCCATTATATACATCCAGACATGGCCCTCTAGTTCTTAGTACACTCCTAACTCTTCCTGCTTTTGCATGTATTGTTCAGTTTCACCTCTTAACTGCAATATTCATTCCACCACTATCTCCTTATTTTCTATCACAGAACTCTATCTCTTTCATAGGAGCATTTCACTTATCAGAATTTCTAAGTCACAGGTGGCTAACACAAGGCCCTTGGGCCAAATCTGGCCTTCCACCTTGTTTCAACCTGGTGGCAGTGCAGAGCTCTCACTTAACTGTTAAGGAGTAGCAACATTTATATAATCCTAAAATTATATTCAGCCCTTTGAAGGCAACTGGGAGGCTGATGTGGCCTCTGGTGAAAGTGAGTTTGACACCCCTGTTCTAAATGAACTCTAAATTCCATGACGGCAGGGCTTCCATCCGTCCTATTCATTCCTGAATTCCTAGTTCCTTCAGGAATGCATGGCACATGGTACATGCTTACTAAATTACTTGTTGAATAAATGAATACAATTTGTATGAGGTCATGGCTAGTTAACTGCCTGAGATGGGATTAAAGATTAGGTCTTCTTTTATTCCAATGCTCTTTTCACTGTCTCGCTTATAATATCCTACTGTATTGTGTGTATATATTAATAGGACAAAAGCCATCCTCAGGCCCTTTTTCCCAGAGCTGGCTGGTCCCCCATAAAGCATGGCTGACCCTCACTATTTTATGAAACTTTATTCTCAGGACTAGAAAATTACTAGAAGCACCCTGAAGGCTCAGAGGCTCCAGGAATTTACCAAACAGGGCATACCAGACCACAATGACCTCCAGACCCTGCACCCAAAGATAACATTGAAACAAGTTGCAGCCTAACTGAAACATCCTGCTCTACAACCACCCCATTACCCAATCAAAGCCCTAACCCCTCAGCCCTGGTGCTAATCTCCACACCTAACCCTTTCCCTCCCTTGGGAAAGTAAAAATAAAACCCCTTACTCTGAGCACTATCTTCTCTTTGTGAATTCTTGCATAGCCCACATCACCGACGACCCTAACATTTAGCATGTATTAACTGCCATTAATTTTAATGATTGCAACTTCCTGTGACCATTACTCCATGTTATATAAATGCCTGTATTTTCAATACTAGGCCAATTGCCATCATTATTTAACTTAAAAATGTGTATAAATAGTACATTAACATCTGTGCTACGGCATATTATGTATAGTACACAAAATACTGTATTACTTTAGAAACTATAGATACTTTATATTTTAAAAGTTAGATGGTGGGTACTAGGTATCTTACACTTCAGAGACTGGGCTTTTGAACCAGTCATAGGTTCAAGACCCAGCTTTGCCATGTAATAAATAGTTGGACAAATTATTCTAAACTTCAGTTGACTCACTTGCAAAATAGGGATAATAACTCCAGTATTTGACTTAGGTTTGTAGTGAAGGTGGTGATAAGCTTATATATATAAACCACTCAAAAAAATCATTTAATTCAGTGCCTAATCAAAGTTAAGTGCTGAGTAAAGTGGTATTTTAAGTAAAAACCATGTAGCTTGGAGTTAATGCCCGTGTCTAGACATTAATGGATAAGTCATTTCTGCAGGGTGCAGAGTTCCCACTGCAGCAGTTTTGTTTTGTTTTTTAAAATTTTATTTATTCATTTCTAGGGAGAGGATAAAGAGAGGGAGAGAAACATGGATCGGTTGCTTCTCACATGCCCCCAACCAGGGACTTGGCCTGCAACCCAGGCATGTACCTTGACAGGAAGGGAACCAGCAACCTTCTGTTCCCAGGGTGATGGCCAACCCCCTGAGCCACACCAGTCAGGGCTGCTGCAGCAGCTTTAAAATTGGATTAGACTTATGGAAAAGGATAGAGAAAAACTTATTATTTTCAAAAGTTTCTTTTTGAAAAATGAAAAGGAGACTTCTAAGTCTAAATCCACCTGAAAAACAAAATAATTCTGATTGACAGTACAATAAAGTTTAAAACACTGTCTCACAAATTAAGCATAGAAACAAGCAATGACACATGAAACCGAACTCTTTAAAAAAAAAACCACTGTGTTCTGAAATAAAGCCAGGAGCAAAAAGACTCAGGACTAGGTGAAACCTCAGATAAAAACAAAAACAAACACTAGATTAAAAACTTCAAAATGGAGTAACAATGAAAATCTCAGGACTCAGAAAATTCTCCTCACATAATCATAAAGTGTAAGTACATCATGATTAGTGACATCTTAAGTAATAGTAGAGGCACAATTCCTGCATACAGGTAGCTCATCTTTCCATGAAGAACACAACAAATCCTTACTTCACAGCAATATCTCAATTTGCAGCAAAGGGCTATAGACATTTTGCAAATCATGTAATCTTGTAAGAGACTTTTATACAAAAAGACCTCATACAATTCAATAGTAGACAAATAATCCAATTTAAAAATGGGGGAAAGATAAAAATCAACATTTCCCCAAAGAATTTATATCTACAAATGACCAACAAGCACATGAAAAAATGTTCAATACCATTAGCCATTGGGAGATGCAAACCAAAATCACTAAGATACCATTTCATACCCACTAAATAATAAGTGTTGACAAAGACATGAAGAAATGGGAACTCTCGTACACTGCTGGTAGAAATGTAAAATGGTGCAGCCACTTTGGAAAACAATTTATCAGTTCCTCAAAAGGCTGAATGCAGTTACCTACCACATGACCAAGAAATTCTACTCCTAGGTATATATATCCAAGAGAATTGAAAATGTATGTCCACACAAAATCTTGTACACAGTGTTCATAGCAACATTATCCATAACAGACAAATGGTGGAAACAAACCATGTCCCTCAACAGATAACGGATAAATATAACATGTCTATACATGAAATAATTGTCAATAGAAAGACATTAAGTTCTGATAATGCTATAATATGGGGGGCCCTTGCAAATATTATGCAAGTGAAAGAAGCCAGTCACAAAAGCCACACACTGAAATTCCTAAGAAATGTTCCCAATAGGCAAATCTGTAGATTAGTGGTTGGGAAAGTTGGGGGTTAAAGGGAACAGGGAGTTTCTTTTCGGCGTGATGAACATGTTTTAAAATTTATGGTGGTGATGGCTGCACAACTCTGAATATACCAAGCTAACTTAATTACACACTTTAAATGGATGAATTGAATGGTATGTGAATTACATCAATAAAGCTATTATTTTTTTAAAGGCGGGGGTGGGGGGAGGCTATGGAATTTCCAAAATGTACCTTATTTACAGATCTGATCATCTCATCAGTTTTTGCATGATCTCCTTATCACCTATTCTCTCACTAAACACTTAACAATGAACTATATCCTCAGGGAGAGAAAATATTAAGTACTGCACAGATTTTTGTCAACTACAGAAAAACCCACGTATCTTCTAGTAAGACTCAGGACAAAGCTGACCACAACCTCCAACCTCCAATTTTTCACCATATCCCACCATAATTATACCAGCTGATTAGACACTTCCAAAGCAAAGGCTTAAGTTGATTTTAAACAAATAATGGGTTTAGCAACGGTACTCTTTCTTAACTTCGTTAGTGTGGTCACTTTATTGTTAAAAAAAAAAATAGGAGGGGATAAAAAGCGGTTCACATTCTACAAAGCAACCGAAGAAATCGTTTTCTTTGGCCAAAACCGACCCCCCAAAAAAGGAGAAATGACAAAATTAACAATTTCTAAATATTTGATGTTAGACCTCAAATGACTTAAAAATTTTTTTTAAGTGAGAGAAAAGAGTAATCAGTGCACGATATGGGTGGGAGGAAATTCTAGGTGCGTTCTTCAGGCGGGGTCCAAGCGGGCCCACGGCCAGTCCTGCCGCCGGCGCCACAGCTGGGGCCTGGTACAGGCCACGGCCCGCCGTCCCAGACGGAGGAGCTTCACCACGGGAGCGCCTGGGGACTCGCTCCGCAAGGAGGTCAAGACGAGAGGCGCCGCCAGACTCCCGAGGGCTCCACCCTCCCGTCCCTCTCCTCCGCGGTCCCCTGAGGGGAACAGGCGGGGCACTGAGCAAAGGCGAGAGTTGGGGGGGGTGTCTTCGGTAAGAAAAGCTCCGCCGCCCCAGAGTGGCGGCCGCGGGTTATTAATAAACTCCGCTTCTGCCCAGGCGCCGCTGCCCGCCGTAAAATCAGAAGGGCCTGCGACGAAGACTGAACAGCTGGAGTCAGGGCCCGGGCCCGAGCGGGCCCGCGCCGCCGCGCTAAGGGCGGCGGCCGGGCGGAGAATAATGCACACTGGGTAAAAACACATTTATATACGAACCTCCGAGAAAATTTTCCAACAATTCCTTCGTCCGACCACCATGCACCAGGACAGGAAACAGCCGCCCGGCCCCCAGGCCCCGCAACCCGCATACCCACTCTGAAGCCCGCCCCAAGCCTCCATTGGGCTGTCACTACGTCACTCATTAGACGCTTCCTGCTTACCATTGGCTCAAATTTATGCGACGCGAGAGATCAGTTTGTCTACGCCCCATTTTCTGGACGTCATGCCTTAAAGCCAGCGCCTGAGTGGCTTAGTTGAAGAGCGGAATCAAAGTTCCTGTGTCTCAGTGGCTGGTAGAACCGCTTATCCCAGACCGACACCGCCTCGCTAACTAGTGAACTATGCTGATTCAGGGGCTGCTGCGGGAGACGCCATTTTGTAGTGAGGGAGGGAGGCAGGTCCTTGTGACTAGCCGGGAGGGAAAAGGGGTGACTGGCGCCATTTTCCCCACAGGGGCTAGGAGATGGCCTTGGCTCTCACGGTGGGCTTCTTGGAGCGCGTTCTGGAGACTGGTTGGGCTTTGCTTAGAGATTGCCGTTTGTTGCAGCGTTGGGAGGGAACTGGTTGTGAGCAGTAGGACGAGATGGGATTCGTAACAGCTCCCTGGGGGCTCTCGATGCCAGCTGGGGCCTTCGGTCTTGGAGGAGGGCTCCTTTCCCGGGAGTTCCTGTATGGCAGTCATTGATTGCCAAGCTTCTCCGCGTTTGGGTCGTCCGGGCATCATCATTCGGTGGGAGGGTGAGCCTCCTAACCGCACCCCCCACCTTCCCGCCAAAGCCTCAGAGGAGTTTGGCCACGGGGAGATGGTCTTCGACTCTGCTGGGAGGCTGCAGTTCATTTTGCATTTTAGTGTTTAGGCTCAAAATTTGAAAGTCTTTAATGGTGTCGTACCTTCTTTTTTTAAAAATTGACCTTCATTTTCACTTTACCTTTTGTATGTTTCGCGAATTAAGGGAAAAAGAAAATATTGGGAACAGCATATCCTCTGGCTCCCTGAACCTAGTCAGAATGAATACAAATTAGTTATTAAGTTGAGACAGTTGTTTTTCCACGTCCCAATCCCAGCTTCAATTACTGGAAATACTAGCCGTTTCAGGAGTATTCAGTAAGTTCATTTGCTTTGGCAACCAGGCTGAATAAAGATGAGGTAAAAGTGTATAGACTGAAAGTTTGTTAAATCGGGCATTCCAGGTGTAGAGCTGAGTTATTACGAGAATGAGGAGGCCGGCCAGTTTTAACAGGTAGTGTTCCGCTTGCAAAAATTGGAGAGCGCTAGATGATGTTAGATTTAGTGTCTTTGGCGTTTCAGATGGTTATGGAATGGCCAAAGGGTTAAAACAAAAGGAAGTTAAAAATAGCTCTCTACATGAAAAGAATTAAAATGTCTTGATGGACAGTTGAACCTAGTTCGAGCTTTCAATGGTATTGTATTTCTTGGTGAGGAGTAGGGGGCAGGCTAACCCTACTAAAGTTTAGTTGAGTAAGTGGTGCCCAAATGCCAGTCCAAGAAAAATACGACTTTTGAGTTTCGTTTGAATACATGTTTAGACTTTTAAAGCAGTTGTTTTTTTCGTTATGCCCTTACAAAAATGAAGAAATGTAACAAAATTGGATTAGGTTACTTTAAACAGAAGGAATTGGCTTATTGAAAGCAGCCTCGTACTCAATGGATAGATTCCCTTTGACATAAGGGAGTATAAGAGTACAGATGAAAAACAAGGCTTAAAAAAAAAAAAAAACAACTAGGGTGTTTTAACTTATACATTCTATACCTTCCCGGTGTTGTATCTGTATTTGGTAATCAGAAATGTTATTAAAGGAAACAGTATTTCTCTACAGTTGAGTCATTTATTACTAAGTCTCATGCCTGTAATCTCATTAAAATACAGGATTTCAAGAATTTATATATTAACTTTGTACATTTTTATTACCATTTATCCTCTTTGTACCGTTTTCCACCCCACCCAACGCCCAGAGCTATCAGCCTGCTCTTTATGATTCTGTCTGTATTTTGCTTGTTAAAAGACTTTTTAAAGATTTTATTTATTCTAAGAGAGAAGGGAAGGGCGGAAGAGGGAAACAGATTGGTTGTCTCTCACACAGGCCCCAACCGTGGACCTGCCGCAACCCGTGACCAACCAACTGAACCACAACTATCACAGCTCAAAAAGTAGTTTTAGGTTACCCATTAATTGCAGATTGCAGTTACAAAACTTTTTTTGGTCTTTTTAAAAATTAAAACATTTTTTAAAAATTAGTTTACATTCAATATTTTGTGTTAGTTCTAGGTATATAGCAGTGGTTCATCAATCATATACTTTACAAAGTATTCCCCCTCATATTTTCAGTACCATACATAGTTATTACAATGTTACTGACCATATTTCCTATGCTCTACTTCACCTGATTGGATAGTATACTAATTCTTACCTGATTCAGAGAGAAACCTTAACTCTGATTTTGTCACTGGTAAATACTGTTAACACAAAGTAAACTTTGTGACTTTAGAGGTCAAATGTACAAAGTATTCAGGACAATCCATAATCTCCATATTTTCCCCAAATCACCTCCTGTCCCTTATATCTTATATTTTGAACTAATGACTTGAAAAAATTTCACTTCCAACCAGTGCTAAAACAGGTCCTTAAAGCTGGACTATCTGGCCAGTTTATCAATAGGCTAATTTATTTCTAGCCCCCTTTAAAAACTGCCATCGTGATTTTAAAAACATTTCAGTAACTCAAAACTTTCTGGAGAATTTATTGAATTGGGCATATTTATACCACAACAACCAATAAAGTATTATATGTGTAAAAAAAGATACAAAGAAATACATTAAATCTTAAAAGTATCTCTGGGAGAAGGTGTTTAGAGATGACTTGGGTTTATTAAATTATTTCTGTAATAAATTTGTTTTTTTTAAATCATGTATTTGTAGCTTTTTTAAGAAAACAAAAGTTTAAAGCCAAACTAGTAGCTTGCTCTGTATTGGGAGCTGTGGCTGTAGGTGTATCAACTTGTCTCAGAACCTGTTGCCTCATCCTTAAGATAAAAACCACTTATGCAAAGAATTAAAAAAAGGAAAATAAAAAAGCTACTTACGCCATGGCATGATTGGCAGGATACACAATATGAGAATATAGGTAAACAAATTAGCACAGTGCCTACTAGAGATGCCTTTAAGGGCTTAATGTTAAACCATCTTTCTCCAATTCTCACTTTAATGGTCCCCTATAGAGACCATTAAAATGGTTCTTAAGCACTTAAATAATAGTTCTTTTGCGGTTGGGATGAAAGCTATGAGCAATATGCTAAAAAGTTCGTGGTTTCATAGGGCTTACGGGAGTCCTTGGTCTGTAGACTAAAGTCAATTCAGTTCATTTGTTTCCACACCAAAAGCATTAAACAGGGCTTAATCAGAACATGCTTTGGAAGTTTATGATGAGGTTACTTAAAATGCTCCTTTCCAATCTCAAGTGGTTCTCAGTTTATATGATGACATAAGCATAGCTATACTACAACTGTTAATGTTTTGTTAGTGGCTAATTGAATGGTTCCCCTCATTTCAAACTGATGTAATTACAGTATTGAATGCAAGTTTTCCATTTACCAACTCTATCCTTGGACCACTTGTTAACCTCATTCATTCATCTTTGAAAAATCACCGAGTTTGAAGTTTACCAATTGTGATTAATGTACGTTATTTTAGTGGCAAACTAAGGAAGTGCATTCAATTTACACAATGCTATAAATCTTGAAGACCCTGAAGATTCTAGGTGTCCCTTTGAAAGTGGCTACTTCCACAGATTATAGCTTCATTTTGGGATCTAATTGCATTTGTTTAAATCTAAAGTAGAGCATTCCAAACAGGGAAAACCAAGTTTCATTAATAGACATAGTCCACACTGTTCCAGCAGCAGAGTTAAATAGTGGATAGTACACGAATGAAGCTACTGCTCTTAACGTGATATTTTCCTCATACTCTTGAGACAGAACTTTTTATACCATTTTATAGAAAAACGAAGTGCTGTCTTTTTTTTTTTTGGCAGGGAGGGAGGGTTGGCTCAGTCTTAAATCTCTAATGCTATGTATTACATTGAAAAATATGATATGCAAATTTACAGGGAAAAAATGATTTTAAGGATCACCATCCCAACTTTGGCACCAGCTTGGGCTGTTTGGGTAATGGGGATTAAAAATCAAATGAACTAGTACCCAAAATATTGGGGTAATAAAATCTCTTGAGACTATTTTACACATACATAGCCACGAGTAAAGTTGTTCTTAATGTATTAAATACATAAACATTTGATGTTACATTTTGGAGAACTTGAACCAAATTTGAGACTTGCTTTAAACAAAAACTGAAAATTGAGATACTCATATACCATAAAATTCAACATTTAAGTGTACACTTGTCATTTCTGGTATATTCACAAGGCTATGGAACCATCAATATTAGGTCCAAAACATTTTCATCATCTCCAAAAGAAACCCTGTACCCGTTAGCAGTCACTTCATTTCCTCCCCACCACTCCCTGGCAACCATTAATTTCTGCTTCTGTGGGTTTGCCAATCCTAGATATTTCATATATATGGAATCTTTTGTCTGACTTTTTTCAGTTTCCAAGACTCATCAGTGTTGTTGTATGTTAACAGTACTCCATTTTTTAAAATTGGCAAGTACATGATTTTATGTGTTGGGAACCACCCTGCCTGGTATCAGAAGCTGTAACCCCCGCCAAGGCTAAGGCTGAGGGAATGACCTTGGACCATAAGCCAGCAAGGAGACAAAAGCTTATCTCCCTGGCAGGAGCGCTGCTTCTGCTACTTCATTCATAAATGGCCCCCAATGCTTGGTCTGTTAGCCAATGACTGGTAAGATTCCCCAAGGGGGGAACGACCTAAGACAGGCACGATCACGTGGGAGGC